TGCTCCGCAACGGGAGAGGTCACAACAGTGAGAGGTCCGCGTACCAAAAAAAAAAAGAAGGGGAGAAATGCAGCCTCAGCTGGGAGACTTTGGCTTTTACAATTAAGAGATGTTTACATGGTCAGGAACAGAATCTGAGATGAGGTGGCAAGGCCACCTCTTCTCCCAACAGTGCCTCAGTCCTGCGTTCCAGGCTGCCACCTGTTTGATATTGTGACTATGGGACTTATTCAAACCTTGAGGGAGAAAAGTAAGGCAGCTGTAGAGAGGAGGATGTAAGGGCACCAGGCTTGCAGGCAAAGCAACCTGGGTCATTAGCCAAATGACCTTGGACAAATAAATTACTTAATCTCAGTTTTCCTGTCTATTAGATGAAGATAATGGATAAATTGTAAAGATTCAATAAGACCTAATAGAGTGCTCCAAACAATGCTAACTAAAACGCCCACATTTCCAGGCTAGGGTTCCACAACCTATAAATCCCAGCACCTGTATAAGCAAGGAAGGCACATCAATCCACTTAGCCATGTGCCTTTTCCACAGGAAAAAGAGACCTCTTGAAAATCAGGTCTCTACTAGGACAAGATGAGACCTCTTACATCATCTAAGATGCCTGGGAGTCAGTCTTTAAAATCTTAGGATTATGCTCCTGACAAGGGAAAAGCTCTTATCAAATAAAACCATCATTTAAAATCCTTTCCCAGGCCCCTCCTCTTCTTCCTTCCCCTAAGTCCACTGATTCAGGAACCACCTCCCTTTCATACAACTGCCCTATTTATGTTTGGTGACTCATACCCAGCTGTTAAAATTTTACGGGATTTCTAAAAGCTCACCTCTTCCATTATTTGGCCAAAGAAAGCAAAGGACAGTTGATACCTAGCACAAGATCTAGTAAAGTTGTCACAGCATTATTACAAATCAAGGTTTCAATTTTCAACAGGTTACCCCAAAGTTAATCAACAACCTGTAAAGGTCAGTTGCTAAAATGAATTAAGACAGGGACAGCATCCTCCCTCTCCAAACTTACAATCTAACCAAGGAGGCTCTGACTAAACACACGTTTTGGTTTAAAGTATGTTTATCAAAAAAAAAAAAAAAAAGACAAAAAAAAAGGTTTATCAAGAAACATGTAAACATCCCATCACTTCCTAGAAAGATGAGGAAGGGGGATTAGGTTATATACATCTTTGATCCCTGATTTCCAGGCAACATCAGCACCTGCCCTTGAGAATAATCAGGTGCTCTCAAAGAATCGTTAGCTTTACTCACTGATGAAGTTATTTAAAATTTAAATTTCTTATCATTGTCCTTAGCAACTTCTTGTCAGGTTTTGTGGCTGAGTGTATTCCTAGAAGGAAGAGCATTTAGAAGTAATTTTTAAATGAAGTTTGGGGACTTCCCTGGTGGCACAGTGGTTAAGAATCCGCCTGCCACCATCATCAAAAAATCTAGAAACAATAAATGCTGGAGAGGGTGTGGAGAAAAGGGAACACTCTTGCACTGCTGGTGGGAATGTGAATTGGTTCAGCCACTATGGAGAACAGTATGGAGGTTCCTTAAAAAACTACAAATAGAACTACCATATGACCCAGCAATCCCACTACTAGGTATATACCCTGAGGAAACCAGAATTCAGAAAGAGTCATGTACCAAAATGTTCATTGCAGCTCTATTTACAATAGCCCGGAGATGGAAACAACCTAAGTGCCCGCCGTCGGATGAATGGATAAAGAAGATGTGGCACATATATACAATGGAATATTACTCAGCCATAAAAAGAAACGAAATTGAGCTATTTGTAATGAGGTGGATAGATCTAGAGTCTGTCATACGGAGTGAAGTAAGTCAGAAAGAGAAGGACAAATACCGTATGCTAACACATATATATGGAATTTAAGAAAAAAAAATTCTTATGAAGAACCTAGGGGTAAAACAGGAATAAAGACAGAGACCTACTGGAGAACAGACTTGAGGATATGGGGAGGGGGAAGGGTGAGGTGTGTTAGGGCGAGAGAGAGACATGGACATATATATACTAACAAACGTAAGGTAGATAGCCAGTGGGAAGCAGCCGCATGGCACAGGGAAACCGGCTCGGTTCTTTGTGGCTGTCTGGAGGGGTGGGATAGGGAGGGTGGGAGGGAGGGAGACAAAGAGGGAAGAGATATGGGAACATATATATATGTATAACTGACTCACTCTGTTATAAAGCAGAAACTCCTGCCAATGCAGGGGACACGGGTTCGATCCCTGGTCCGGGAAGATCCCACATGCTGCAGAGCAACTGGGCCCACGCACCACAACTACTGAGCCCGCACTCTAGAGCCCGCGAGCCACAACTACTGAAGCCCACATGCCTAGAGCCTGTGCTCCGCAGCAAGAGAAGCCACCGCAATAAGGAGCACACACACCACAGGGAAGAGTAGCCCCCGCTCGCCGCAACTAGAGAAAGCCCACGCGCAGCAACAAAGACCCAATGCAGCCAAAAATAAATAAATAAAATAAATAAATTTATTTTTAAAAACTGAAGTTTGAACTTAGGAAACACTTTCAAATTTGATAGGGTGTTTAAGCACCTTTAAAATCCAGGACGGGGCTTCCCTGGTGGCGCAGTGGTTGAGAGTCCGCCTGCCAATGCAGGGGACACAGGTTCGTGCCCCGGTCCAGGAGGATCCCACATGCCGCGAAGCGGCTGGGCCCGTGAGCCATGGCTGCTGGGCCTGCGCGTCCAGAGCCTGTGCTCCGCAACGGGAGAGTCCACAACGGTGAGAGGCCCACGTACCGCAAAAAAAAAAAAAAAAAAAAAAATCCAGGATGAAGAACCAGCTAGCTGATTTCCTTGAGACCTTGAGAGAAAATGGCTAAAAGCATTACATTCATTTTCCCCAAATTCCAGCAAAAGGCAAACTACCTGCTTCATTTTTAAATTTCATTCTACTTACTCTGCTAATTCAAAGCAAAAAAGAAAGCTGGGGTGAGGAGGAGGGAAAAACATTTTTAAAATACACATCAGATAAGGGAACTTGCAAATAAACAAAATTGCAGGTCAACTACAGACTCCCTCTTAGTGATTCAGGGAAGTAGCTAACGTTGAATGGAGAATTCAAGGAAGACTTCTTTGAGAAGCTTAGACAGTTCTGAATGAAATACAGCATGGAAATGGCAGAGGACACGGAGGCAGAAGAATGCTGAAGCTGGGTGTGAAGACAAGGTGGCTGCCTCGGCTAGAAAAGAGGCAGTGGCAGAAGTGACTCGGACATGGAAATGATTGGCAGCATGCCCAAAAGAGCACGTGAAGGAAATCAGATCTGCTACAAGCTCCCACAGACACTGGGTTTCTAAGCAAGGCACGAACAAAGGCTCAGAGCAGAGTAGACCTTGGAGATAATCAGCCCCTCACTTTACAAATGGGGAGAATGAGGTCCAGTAGTATTAAGTAACTTGCCTGAGGTCTCACAGTGAGTGGAAGAGCTGGGACTAGAGCCAAATCCAGATCAAATCCGTTACTGAAGAGGATCTATCTGACACTCATGTGAGGGATGGGGGGAAGGGAGAGGACCAGGACACAAAATAGTCTAGTCATTCAGGTTTGTCCTGATTAGGGCCCAGGATAGGATCATGCTGGGAAAAGTCCACGACAGGTGATAGCCAGGGAAATAGGTACAGATGACCTAAGACACTTAGAAAGAAAAAACCCACTAAGACTTAAAAATAGATGTGGATATAAAAGGAGAGAGTGCATCATAAACCATGATTCCCACCAAAAAATGTCATATTCCCACCAGCATTCACCTTTGTGAAGCTACATACAGAGACAAGTCAGTAGCTTCCATTCAGGGTCCAGGCACCTGCGTCTCCCAGGCCCATTTCCAGGACCAAGAAAATCAGGAAGGACTCCTTGGAAATTCCAATACCTGTTACCCTGTTGACTTGGAGTATCTCAGAATCACTACCCATGGTAGGGTAATAGATGAGGAACCAGAGAGGTAAGCTGGCTGATTACTACATAGGATTTACTAGAATGATTTTATGTCAAGAGTTATGCTTACCTTCAATCAAGAAATAGTTAAGCATTTATTTATTTATTTATTTATTTATTTATGTATTACATAAATTTGTTTATTTGTTTGTTTTTGGCTGTGTTGGGTCTTCATTGCTGCGCGCGGGCTTTCTCTAGTTGCAGCGAGCGGGGGCTACTTTTCATTGCAGTGCACAGGCTTCTCATTGCAGTGGCTTCTCTTGATGCAGGGAACGGGCTCTAGGCATGCGGGCTTCAGTAGTTGTGGCACGCAGGCTCAGTAGTTGTGGCACACAGGCTCAGTTGCTCCACGGCATGTGGGATCTTCCCAGACCAGGGCTCGAACCCATGTCCTCTGCATTGGCAGGCGGATTCTTAACCATTGTGCCACCAGGGAAGTCCCAAGAAACAGTTAAGCATTTAAATTTGACAAAATGCATAGGAATCAAACTCCTGGAGAAGTTCCAGCCGTGATTTTAAAAGTTTAATGCTAGAATAACTACAAATGAATATAAATAGTAGTCCTCCAAAGGGGACTTGTACAAACTCTAAGGAGTGCACGTCTAGATAAAGAGAGAATGGAAAATAATGCCCCAGCTTAAAGCTAACCACCACCTTCCTATTTTCAAAGAGAAATCTTTAACTTTGTGCACAGAACCTAACTACTCAAAGTTTAGTTCAGTAATATTAACACCACCTGGGAATTAGAAAAGAATATACTCAGGCCCCACCTTAAACCTACTGGATTAGAATCAGCATTTTAGCAAGACACTCCCCACCCCAGGTGATTTATTTGCACATTCAAGTTTGCGCAGCACTGGTGCAGAATACTTTAAGGGTGGACTATATATATAGCACTACACAGATAGAGTACCAAACAGGCAAATAAGAGACAAAGTACCTGTTCACTTTCTGTATACCATATTTTATTAGGTACTGCTCAGACAGACCTCCAATGCTTTTTAATGAATTTGGTACTTACTAATGACCACATGATATAAATGTGGGATCCATTTCACTTCCTGAAATAACACAGCTCTAGCATTTTCATGCACATGAAATTTAAAACAGCTTAGTTGTTCTGAAAATACAATAATGATTCATTTTATTCAAGTTCCAACACTGAGTTCAGAGCACTTCACCACAAGCCCCATTAATTCCTACAGGTTCCTGGGAGTATCATTAAATCCCCCAGCATCCCTAAGAAGCAGGTGCTTGGCAAACATCCAATCTTCAAATGAGATTCAGGAGGACGTGGTCCTGAAAATGCAGTATTTTTCTGCCTTGTCCTGCCAGGGTAGCTTCTCGGGCTCAAACTCTCTCCCGCACTGAGGCCTCATACAGCTGCACACTCAAGTACTTCCCGAAAGGGAGAAAGGTCAGAGGTGTCATTATCCCATAAGCACTTGAGATTCCAGCTGTGGAGAAATTAATCTGGTTCGTTCCCGCTGAGAAGCCCTGAGTAAGATCTGGAAAGACAGAGGGAAATACAAAAGAAAGAACCTACTGAGAGGCTCTTAGGAGAGGAGAGGTCTCAGACATTTGCAGATTTTAAGGAGGGGTTTGGGGGCAAGGCTTGGCAGATAAGTGAGAGGATTACGGGGAGAGTTTTAAATATCCATCTCCCACTTCTCCCCCAGAAACAACAACAAACAAAGAATGACCAAGAAATTCCTCCAAATGACCTCCTTTCTTGATAAAAGGAAGGAAAAAAGCCAATGTAGGGAGGAAGCGTATGAGTTGGAAGCAAGACTAAAGAATCTCTTGAGGGTTTTTTGGTTTTGTTTTTTTCCAACGAAGGGAAATAAAGCAAAGGAGAAAACAGTACCCATCTAACCAGAATCTTATAGGAAGCAAACCACCAGGAGGATTAAGAGCGCTGTGAATAACCAAAGAAATGCAAGGGGATTCCTTTCCAGTTTAAATCCAGCGCTGGGGAGTCAAGCAGCCCTGGACTTGAAGCCACTTCCAGAGCAAGGGGAGGAAAAGGGAAAATCTTTACAGCCACCAATAAGCAGAGCAGTGTCCAAAGAAAGAAAGAAACCAGAAAAATGCCCGGGGATAGGGCAAGCCAAGAGAAAAGAGCTCCTGTTAGCAGAAAAGTAAAAGATAAAGTAGACATATGGGAGACAACATGCAGGCAACCCCTTTAGGATGGGCGGGGAGATCCTCCCCTAGGGGGAGGGGACTTCAGGAGGTAAGACTAGGAAGTGTGCACAGAAAAAAGGCCCCAGAAGCAGAGAAAGTGTGGTGCTGAAGATATTTATTCACCAGAGGAAGGAAGAGGAAATAGGTGCACTGCCCTGACAGGGAGAGCACCTAAAGGTAAACAGGGTTCCAAAGAGGGAAGGAAGCTGAGGAAAGAAAATATCTTGGATGGCAGAAAAGCTCAAGAACCTTGGACCATCGTATGGAAATGAACAAACTCAGAAAAAAGGTGCGCCGTCCCAGATTTAACAAGCACCAGGATGGTTGCTGCACCCTGAGAATTGTGTAACCAAAAGTAGTGCATGCTGTACATCTGGAGGGCACAGGAAACAAATACACTTTCAGATATGAAAAGTCTCCCCCAGGAAATAAGGTGGTCGGACTTAGAGAACTCATGAAAAACGGTGCAACCCCAAGAATAGAGTGACTGGAAAAAGTAGTGAATTTCCTTGTGTAAATACAAATATATATCCTCAAATTTCAGGATTTGGATCTCATTTTCGGTAGACTCTGGAAATGAGGTGCACTCCCAGATTTTGAAAGAGCAGGGAAAGGAAGCGGCCCCCAAATTTAAGAAATTCTGGAAAGCACGTTGCCAGATTTGGGGCCTGGAATAGGGAATTAATTCTTCCTCGATTTTGTGCGAATATAAGTACCCAAAACACTTTGGTTATTGGACCGGAGATTTAAGACTCGCTAATGGGAAGAACCCCAAAATTTGAAAGGGGATGCTTACTCAGACTGGAGGCTCGAAAAGGTAGTGTCCTCCCAGTCTGGGGGTCGTGGGTCAAGGGATACATCCTTAGTTGGGCAGGCTTTGGAAATTTAGATAACATCCCAGGGCTGGAGCTTAAGAAAAGGGGTGCACCGAGCACATTTTCTAAAAACTATAGAGAAAGGGGACACTCCCATAGTCTGGCGCTTGAGAAAGGGGTGTGCTCCCCAGAATAGGATAAAAGAATCAATTTAAAAAAACGCGTTCCCAAAGCACAAGACAACTACAGGGGCTGCCTGTGGAGCTCTCGAGGGCCACACAGCTCAGGCTCCGGCCCTAGCGCTTACACCCCACCCCCAACACGGCCCGCTCCGCGCCCCGGGCCCCGCACCCCGCGGCCCAGCCCCCTCGGGAGTCGCTGATTGGCCGCAGCCACCGTCACTCCTGCGGGCAGCCCTAGGGATTGGGCGCCGCCCGCACGCCCGCCACGCTCTCAGCAGCGGTCCCCGGGCCTCCCTCCCGGCTGGGCGAGCCGGGCCAGGCGGGGGGCGGGGCCGGGTA